TTTTCTGAGGTGGAACATTTTAAAAATATTTTAAGATCTAAATCGTTTTTCGGATCAGTGTGCTGTTACAATATTATGATACAATACGTAACGAAAAACCTGTATACTATTTTAAGGAATGTGACCATCCATTAAGCGCCGGAGTGTTCGGGAAAAGACATGTGAAGCCACGTGATTTAACAGTTACTTGTTGTATGGAAGACCGTTGTAACCATCTTGCACCACAGACACCAAAACCAATATCACGTAATGTATATTACCCCTAGTTTTCTATTTTCTGTTTGTTGTGTAAATAAAATGTTATATCTCAATCTCTTATTATAATAGTCACTACGTGTTAGTTATGTCGGCTTTAATTGGACATTTTGTATAATCTTTGAAGAACAGCTGTAAACACTTTGACAAATTATGATATATGTGTGTATTAAAGAATGTTTTTTATCACCGTTACCTTATGGTCTGACTTCTATGGATTTACAATTTTATATTTTGTCATATAACCTATTTGTAAACTTAAACTTAGTCAATCCGAAACGCGTATCTAACTTATGTTGTTTTCATTTTATATTTTAAGATTTCAAGCAGTGTTAAGGAATGTGTTTCATTTGCAATAGTATAATTAACATTTACTTTTACTGACAAATGATTACGCAAGTAGGACATTTAGACCCTTGACCCCACGAACCCTTAAGATATTAAGATGACTTCTAGACTCCTTGACACTTAGACGTCATTTTACATGACTTTTTGACCCCTAGTGGGTAAAACATTTCGACCCCTATCTCAATTTTTGTATTATAGAATCAATCATAGATACTTCGAGAAATAATTTAAAGCAAATAGCAAATATTCTAATAATTTTCATAACAGGACCCGATAAGATATTGAAAAGTTAAGGTTAAGCAATAATTAAACATTGTTTTTATTATTCATTTAATGTTATGTTACATTGAACTGTAGGAAAGCTACATAGCAGTTATAATATTTGATTTTGTCAATATAAAATGCTTGGGCATAATACAGACCCAAGACTAAAAGTGAAGGAGTTATGATAATGATAATAACGATTTGTGCATTGCGTGTTCATATATATCTACAATTTCTACAAATTTAAAAAGATTTAGTTTATTTTTCTGTAACAAACACATGTATGTTACATTGGCGATGCATTATTTTACATGTCTACTTAATTTATGTTACATATTGAATAGACTTGTCAAAGTCAAATTTGTCAAATGGTCTCATTTTTATGGTATGCTTCACAATATGAATTAAAAAAACAATCAATAATTAAATGTTTGTAATTTGAAAACGATCTTCTTGATTTCCATTAAACGTATTTCGAGAATTGCATGTACTATATTTTACAACTACAATGTACATTATGATACGTAGAATTGTAGTTATGATAACAAAAATGATATAGTCTAATCTATTTCTTATATAATTTGTAACATGAAAAATTAAGTTAATTTCCTTTACATATATTATATCTCACATTTCATATATGCATTTTCCCTCATATGCTTCAGCAAACACAAGTAAAGAAATTATTAAATTATCTTAAAGTCAATACATGTTCCTCTTCTTGTAAACAAATTTACTTTTTCTGTATTTTCGTCTTTATGCATATTTATTTTTCGAATTGAACGTCTTCACGTACAATGTAGAATAAGGGGTCGAAATGTCCGTATAAGTGTCTTAGGGGTTTAAGTCCCATTGGTCGAGATGTCTTAGGGGTCGAGGTGTTAAGACGTCGAGGTGTCAAGGGGTCGAGATGTCATAGTCATGATTTAAAAAGATCCGAAAATTTCATCCGTTCGTGGTACTTCTCAATGACCGTTTTGAAGTACGGGTGGTATACGACAATTACATTTCACTAAGTAAAGAGTGTTAACCGTCTTATTTCAGACTGTGTCAAAGATTTGGTTTTAGTTGTTGATGATACGTCCAGAATTCAACCCTTTGAAAACGCTGTGCATTCGTTTTTGCAAAATGTTGTTTCTAGTCTCCCTATTAGTACAACAGATATTCACGTGGCTCTCGGGATGTTTTCAAATGACTTCCTACCTATATTTGACTTTAATGATCACCCCTCGAAAGCAGACACACTCCATGCTATATCAACGCAAGTGTTTAGAGGTGACCAGCGCGGAGATACTAAAGAAGCGCTTAATTACATCATCAATCATGCGCTGACACCTACATCCGGTGATAGACCGAACGCACAAAACGTTGTTCTTCTCATAACCAGTCATGATACTGGTCATGATCGAGAGCTATTGTGGAAAGAGAACCAGGTACATATGGCGGCAGATGTCATCTTGGTTCAATTTGGACATGCAGACTTCAAATACCTGGCCTCTGGTAACAATCACAACTTCCACCTTTCTTCTGGGTACCAGATATCGCAAATAGCTCAAAATGTCACTAATTTGATTATGTGTTAGCTCACAATAAACGAATAAAACATAATAAGCGTATGTTTCATTGTTTGAAGTTGAGGGCAATCATACCGGTTTTGTGGTTTATAAACATGTGTAAAATTAATTGGATAACAATAACGTGTTCTGCCTACATGTACTACATTCAGTTGATAATGTATATGGACAGTACGTTTATCACATAAACCGCGCAGGAGTGTAATAAAGCCATTTAATAAATACGATATTACACTACAGCCTGTCCCATTTAAAATGGAAATGAATAATAAACCATTTTTATAAACAAAAAAAAAATGTCACGCTCGAGATTTTCAGGCTTTTTCTCCAAGTGTCTACTTTTGTTGTAAAAGCAAAGTTTGATTTCTCTACGTCAAGTCTCTGTTGTTTATTTTCCGTAGCCATTACCGAAGTACTATTCATTTGAAGATGAACGGGAGAAAGCACGTGTCAGGTTTCTAAAATGACGTTCTCGGGGTCGTTTCGTGATTATTTTACAAAGTTGGATCTACAAGATGTAACAGATTAGTTGCGATGTATGATACAACATAATTATGAATATTAAGCAACAAGAACATCGAGTAGACATTGCACTTATTTTTAAGCGAAATAGAATCCCTATGAATTTCGAAGTAGATCGTTATAAATGTCACGACACGTTCGCATTCGGAAGATTCCTTCATTGCCAGTTTCTATCCAGTTTCGTTGATCACAATTTTTGACTTCAGAAATCCTCTCGATGACTACTACACTTATGAGCTATGATCCTGATTTTCTTTTAATCTTTTAATGATAATCTGTCTCATAATTAAAACATTGTCCAATATGTGGAGTTATCTGGGTTAGCAAATGAAATATGTAAATGAAACACATCATTATAAAGTATGTTTCAAGAACGGCCAATCAACTTCAGTTGTCAAAAAAATGGATTCCTGACGAAAAAATCTTTCAATACGTCAATTGACAATAATTTACGGCAATATCCGGTTATCTCCCTCCCGGGGCAGAAAAAAATCTTATCGACTTTTTATGACAACCTTGTGCTAAACCTCACTGATCTGGATCATTTAGGCGCTTAAAATATATCATACACGCATGCACAGTAAAAATCAAAATATTTACTTATCTTGCGCCTGCTCAGTTCTGTTAAGTACATGTGACAACTGTCGATGTAAATATCTTCTTCTTGAAGGTTAACAGAGAATAGAAACAAATATATATTCCTTATATATTTATAGTATAGCTGACGGGCTAAATCGTTGTACTACTTGGTACATCTATGTAAAGGTCCTTATCTGGGACAAATTACTTCCAGACTTTATTTGGGGTCCTCCTGGGCTCCTTGCCGCTGGCTCTTGTTGCTGGGTCGGGTGGGGGTTGCGTTCATTGAACGCCGCCTTTCCTTGTTAATCTTGTTTATCATATTTTCTACTGAATTTACTGAAAATTGTCATCCGAGGACGTCTACACCAAATAATTGGCTTTCGTGTATGTGTTCGGTTCTTTTATTCTTATAGGACCTTGTTCTTTCCGATTTTGCCGGTGCGTATCCTGGAGGATGTTAAAAATTTTCCGTCTTAAGTTTTCTTCCCTGTACCTGTACTCTTATTTTTACTGGTTCCTGCGACGACTACGGGTGTTCCAGGCGCGTCTCCGATGAACTATCTGGGTATAGGTCCGACAACTATGCAGCTGTTTTTGGCAGAAGATTTGCAGATTCCCTTTGTCGTTGGGCAAAGTTGGAAGATCATAATCAGATGAAATGGTGACGATATCACGTGCAATATGTGTAGAGGCTGAAGGCCTAGATTGCGGAATTGGTGGTGGTCCGGTAAAATTAGATTCAGTGTTGTCGTCTACACTCGAATTTGATTCGCTCCCTGCGTTTGTTAATTCTGGTTCCACTGTCCGGTTTCCCCAGTTTCTCATTTCCAGTTTCCAGCTGTCCCGGGCCAGAAAGGTGGGTCATCTAGAGTATAAATTGATCTCATGAGATCAAAGAATGACACATATGTGTTGCCTTTGACTTCAGCACGCCGCATAATCTCCGCCCTTGTAACCCTTCAATTGACTTGATTTTGTTCCGGACATCTTCCAAAAGTGGTCCTTAGCATGCTTCCAAGCCCCTTCGATTCTATTTGTATGTACCGAAATTATGTCGCATTCTCGGGTAGTGTTCTATCAAGTTTGCTCATATTAATTTGATCAATTAATCAAAAACTAAAAATAGAAATACCTTTAAATGTCTATTTCTACAGAAATAATTGATGGAAGATCACCAAACTTTGTCTGTAGCATTCTTGGGTAGTCTTTTATCAAGTTTGCTCAAATGGACTTGATTCGCCCCTTTAGGCTCTATAGCTAAAAATAGAAATGCCGTTAAATGCCTATTTCTAGAGAACTAATTGATGGATGATCACCAAACTTTGTCTGTAGCATTCTTGGGTAGTCTTTTATCAAGTTTGCTCATATGAATTTGATTGGCCCCTTTAAAGGGCCGCTTAAGCTAAAAATTGAAATACCTTAAAATGTCTATTTCTACAGAACTAATGGATAGACGATCACCAAACTTTGTCTGAAGCATTGTTAGGTAGTCTTTTATCAAGTTTGCTCATATTATTTTGATTGGCCCTTTTAGGGGCCGCCAAAATTAAAAGTAGATATACATTTAAACGTCTGTTGCTACAGAACTAATTGATGGATGATCACCAAACTTTGTCTGTAGCATAATTGGGTAGTCTTTTAGTAAGTTTACTCATATTAATTTGATTAGCCCCTTTTAGGGGCCGCTAAAATTAAAAATAGAAATATGTTTAAACAGCTTCTCCTACAGAACTAATAAATGGATGATCACCAAACTTTGTCTGTAGCACTTTTGGGTAATGTTTTATCAAGTTTACTCATTTTAATTTGGTTTTCCCCTTTTAGGGGCCGCTTAAGCTAAAAATAGAAAAACCTTTAAACGTCTTCTACTTCAGAACCAATTGATGGATGATCACCAAACTTTGAAGCATTCTTGGGTACTCTACTATCAAGTTTACTTATATTAATTTGATTAGCCCCTTTTAGGGGCCGCTAAAGCGAAAAAAAGAAAAAGCCTTCGAAACATCATTTCCCAAATGAAATAAATTTATGGATGTCACCAAAAATTTTTAGCTTCTTAGTTAGTATTTTTCAAAATTTGGGGCATTTAAAAATTTTATTAAACCCCCTTTTTAAACTTTAAAACTTTAAAAGCCCCCGGTATGCATTTCTCCAAAATTTTTGTTTTTTAAAATATTTTATGCTCAAATTTTAAAATTCCCAATATATTGACCCTTCCCAAAACTTTAAAAGAGTTTTTTTTTGGGGGAGCGAATCAGGGCCACCTTGGCCCCTCTTTTTTTTCAAAAATTTTATACATTTATACAGCTAGCTAAAACCTTCCCGTAAAAGTTCTGGGCCGGGGCTGAAAAAAGTTTAAAAAAAATGAAAAGAGTCAAATTAAAAAGGGAAATGATTATATGTTTTGAAATTTTTTAAAGAAAAGAGAAAATATGAAAACCCTAAAAGGGAAACCCAACCCCGGCAAAATTGAAAATTTTTTAATTTTAAAAATCCGCAGGGGTTTTTGTTGGGGTATGGCCCCGGGTTTTCTGGAAACCCTTTAAAGTGAAAACGTAAGTGCCATTCCATGAAAAAAGGGGATATTTGGGCCCCCAAATAAAAAAAAGGGTGCCATAAATCCAAAATAGGGGCCCCTTTTTACCCAAAGGGTTTGTGGAAAAATGGGGGATTATGGATAAGTTTAAACTAGCAAGGTTTTTATTTTTGGCATGTGTTGTTTAAATGAACCTTAAAACAAAACAGTAGGGAAGATTAAAAGAAACAGGTTTTGTTTCTCTTGACCTTGGGGGAAAAGGGGTGAAATTTTTTGGGACGGCAAATCAAAACTCACAATGAGAAACATTTTGTGAAATATAAATTTAAATCCCCCCCAAAGCAATGTAAGAAGTTTGTCCGAAAAAGCGTTTTTTTTAAAAAAAAAGCTCTCCCCGTTAATTTCACCTTTGAATAAGAAAACTTTGGGTTTATGTGGCAAAGGGAAAAACGTTTTTCAAAAGGTGGTGAAAATTCTATAAAAAAAATTTTAACAATTTAAAATTCCTCCTTTCAATTGGTAAAAAAATAAAGGCCTTGGACAAACCAAATTTCCTAAAAATTTAATTTTATTCCAGTTTACCTTACCTTTTGCCCAAATAAAAATTAAAAACCCTTTAAATTTAAAATTTTTCACAAATTTTTGTCCTTGAAAAGGGTTCAAAATTTTGTGAGGGCCCCACAACCCCCAAAAATTTAAATTGATTTTATAGAATGGTCCCCCTTTTAAATTTTTTCCATTTTTTCAAATTTTTAAATGGCCTTAAAACCCTTTGGGCCTCTTAAAAGTTTTTTGGGGGAAAACCCTTGGAAAATTTTGGGTTCGCAAGGGAAAACTGATTTTTGCCTTGCGCCCCTCCGGGGGCCCCAAAAAAATTTGGGTTTTAAGCAAAATTTGTTTTTTGGAAAAGTTTATTATTGGGAAATTCCCCCCTTTTTGAAGGGGAGAAAAAAATTTTGCCTTTCCGGAACCAAACGTTTTTTAAAGGAGGGGGGGTTAAAATTGGTGACCTTGAACCTGGAGGCCTGGAAAAATTGCCAGGTTTGGGAGGGCAAAATTCATTTAACCATGGGTGGGTGAATTCCCCCCCCCTTTAAAATTTAATTTTTAAAAAATTCTTCCCCTAAAAATGTGGAGATTGCTCCAAAACAAAAACTGGAAAATTTTACCCTCTTAGTGACTTTTTTGTTTTTTTGTTTGTTTCATTTTACGGGTTTTTTTAAAAAGTTATTTTCAGTCATATAGGCGGTAGTTTCCTAACCATCGTTCCTGGAGAGTTACACCAGTACTAGACTACCTTCCTCCGCGCTAACTACCAAAGCATCTCCGGGATCGAACCCACGCCAGAGAGGTAACTAGATTAGAAGTCATCGACTCTAACCCCTCGACCCACGGAGGCGGA